AACGTTTCAGGTCTATGACCTTTCGTCATGTTGGAAGGGAGCAGATTATAAAGATAAGTAGAGAAGTGGGCGGGGAAAGAAAGACAAAGGAAACATTTTTAGATGGAGGACAGAAGATGATAAGACCAGAGGAGAGCAAAACAAAAGGCAATAGAGGGGTTATAGAACGAACAGATGCATCTAAGAACCAGAGGTTAAGTGTTAATGGTTTATAGGGGAGGGGGAGGGAGTGACATTAGGGAACAGTTAACGTTACTTATCATAACGTCACTGAATTAGCAAAATCAGGCTAGCAGTACATGGTAAACAAATGTGGTGATGGAGTCCTGTAGCTCAGTGGTTAGAGCACTCGCTTTGCAAGTGAGAGACCTGAGTTCAATTCCAGGCAGAGGGCGAAACCTTGGGCAAGTTTCCTTACTCCACACAGAGCCTAATAATAATCCCTCCAAAACCAAAAACAATAATAAATTGGTCATTTTCAATCCACGACTGTTTGTGGGACATTGCTGTGCGCAATTGGCTGCCGCGTTCCCCCACAAAATATACAGTCAATTCACTTTACAGTATATTCTGTGAAGCGCTTTGGGACGTCCTCCCGACGTGAAAAGCGCTATATCAAATGCAAGGATTATCATTATTATTATTATTATGGGGGGAGGGGAGCAAATCTACAGAAGAGTGGTTGTATTCTTCAGGCATATAAAAGATAAGCCTCAACATTTTGTTCTTCTTTGTAAAACAATGACAGCACTTCTGCAACAACAACAAATTACGCTTGTAAAGCGCCCTTCACGTCGGGAGGACGTCCCAACGTTCTGGATAGTCAAGGATTTGGTCCCAAGCTGGGGTGAAGGGCAAGGGAGGGTGACCGAAGGCAGAGTCAAAGAGGTAGGTCTTGACATGGTCCTTGAAGGAGGCAAGGAAGGGGGCAAGGCAAAGGGTCTGTAGGATGGAGTTCCAAACGGTGGGGGCAGCTGTAATTCTGCACAATTACAGTTAAGCACCATTGGCTGCTACACATTGGCTGTCCTGTACCTCACCAATCTTAAAGTAAAGATATAAGGGAGGGAATGGGTCACAGGTCTTATACTCCCTCTTGATCCATGCAGTCCCCTGTCCCACATTTGCACCTTCTTCTCTTTGACCGAGCCTTCAGCTCCCCTCTCGACTCTCTACCCCCTCCTCGCTCCCTCCCTTCCCTCCCCTCACCCTGACCATTTCCCCCCTGCTCGGGTCCTGACCCAACTGTCCAGCGCCTTGGGACGTCCTCCCGACGTGAAAGGCACTCTATAAATGCAATCTTCTTGTTATTATTCCAAATGTTAATTCCTACCAGTGTCAATTTGAAACAAAGTGTGCTGGATTTAAACTTGGATTTGCTTCAAATTGATTTAACTCGTCCAATCCACAAAGCTTTTTTCGATCGAGATTTGCCTTTCAGCCAAAAAAAATAAAAATGAATGCTATTTATTTTTTAAAAAACTGAAGACATCAGGACAACTCACTTCCACTTCATCGATCAGCCCTTCCTTTTCAACTACAGGATAGGGAATTAGTTGCCTGGATCTCAATTGTAGATGCCAGTAGAACTGATTATTCAGTATCATACCTCCAACGCCCACACTCTGCGGGGTTTAATTTGTATTTCTCTATACCCTCCCTCCCTTCTTTCCTTATTACGCTGATGACTTCTGCATTTAAAGCAGGAATAAGCCTTTGGTCCCAATGCACCCAACTACTCAAATCACTTTACTTACCCGAGTCTACGTCGTCAGTGACTGCAGATTATTTTACCAATAGGGTATATTACAGCTATGCCTAACTGCATTATCTCAACAGGAACCAGTAAATAATAAGAAAATGTAAGTAGACAACTCTTCCACAAACACTATTCTGGAAGCACAACTTCAGTACATTATTTCTGCCCAGGTTAAGAGCTGCTAATGGGGATGAATTGGTTGACTATATGACCATATTGTGGAATTAAGTCTCTGAACCACCGGGAAAATCCCTATTGCTTATTTTAATATACAAAAGAGGAAGCTCATTCAGTAACAAATTATATTTAGAATGAAACGAACCATTCTTATGTCAGCATTTGCTTATACATAGTATAAATAGCACATTTTCTTCACTGTTAATCTTAAAAATAGCTTAGTTGAGTGGAAACAGAAAATAAATTCTCCTCCTGTTTTCCCATTTTCATTTTATAAAGCCCTTGAAAGATCAAGGTACAACATCAGCTCAATGAGAATACAGGTATCATTAACACGTTTAAACACTTTTCTCTACAACATTGTATTTGCATATTTTAAGAATACAAAGCATAGATCAATATCACAAGACTTTCCCAGGCTGGACAACAACAACAAATTACATTTGTATAGTGCCTTTCAGTTAGGAGGATGTCCCAAAGCGCTGGACAGACCACTCTGCTAGGCCTTTGGCTTGTTGGGTTGAGAATATATGTCAATAATTCAAAGACTAATTGGTAAGGCAGAAAGGCTAGTTGGCCACCACCATTTTGTATTAAAACAAAGCCAATGTTGTCTCCATAGGGTAATCTCACTTACCTGGCCCAAACTCCAGGCAGATTTGCTTTTAAAAATACTCAGCCAATCAACCTCGAAAGGGTGATAAGACCACCCACTATTAAAACCTAAATGTTCTGTTTCTATGCCTATCTGATCTACTACTTCAGGGGTCTTCAACCAGTCGGTTGCAGCTAGGTCACTCATGCTCCATTGCATAGTCAAAAAGACAAGATTAAGGAGCAATACAACCGTGTAGTTATATAGTCCTGGTACTTCAGTCACATCTCGAAAAAAATATAAAGGTTATTGTTTAAACTGCAGTAGATATCACTCTCTGTCTTGTTTTTAATTGAGCATGTGCGAGAGGACAACTAGCTGTGACAACCAGTTGGAGACCCCTGTCCTATGGTATTTTCTATAACAAGCATATCTGTAAGTCCACCTAATGTCAACTCAATGAGTGATGTACTGCATCTATCTATACTCAATGATTGCCTTAAATTTTATTTTATCTTCATGCTGGTATAAAAGTTACACAAGTTGGCCTGGTCACCTGGAATGTGAAGATTTTTGCGTGTACAAAAACTCTCCAGAATAAAAGAGTCTGCATTTATATTGATGATGGACATGTTTCTCATATTGATGCAACTCCATGCTCACTTGTTTTTGGTCAGCCTGGTGTCTGACACGTACGGAAACCATTATCATATATACAAACAAGTTCCATATAGGCATGCCACCTACACATGGCGATTTCCACATCTAGAATGGAACGTCAACTCTCTCCCTGGAGGAACACACGCTGTCTGCCTAATTCAGAGTATTAGGCAGAGGTTTACAATAGCCAAGGCTTGGGAGACACCCCCACACCCCAGTGTATGTTGGGGTGTTGCTTAAGTTCAACAAGCTAAGTGCATAGTTCGTCATTGAGAATATTGTCTGGCAAGTTTCCTCCTGCTTGTCCATCTTGTTTTCGACATGAGGGCTTTCGCTTGCGCAGTTAATAGGAGCCGAGTGGAAAGAATCAGTGACCAGTTTGCTCCTCCAAGTCCCATCAGTGAAGTCGTCCAGCTGGCCTTCCATTACATTACTCCAAGTTTAGAGTACTTCGGAATTAGGACCCACCTCGCTCAGGAAGTGGAGCACCTCGACTATCAGAGATATCAGTCAAGTCTGACATTCTGTTGCCAAGCAGATCAATTTGTAACCAGCTCAGCTGTCAGGTGAACCTGCTTATCTCCTCCCAACCCCACCCCCAGGATAGACGTTGATTGGTCATTTGATATCTGACAAGTGCAGGTTCACAAACTACTGCCAGCAGTTTACTGCAACTTATCAGAGCGCGTGCGTGAGTAAGGGTGTGCGTGCATGGGGGGTGTAAGAGATAGATAGAAGTGGAAGTTGAAGAGGAAACTGCACTAATGGGACTACAGTATTTACATAAATTCATCACAGCTTTTATCAATAGAAAGTTGATCAGAGTTTTATTAGAGAAAGTTCATTTATGGGGGAGGGGAGTGCTCATACTCCACGTGCGGCAGATTTATGGATCTAATACTGTATTGTGCTTCGCTGCAAATATATATTTTTAAATCCAGAACGGATTCACTCCGTCGAAACAAAAGTTAAGACAACTTTACAAGCCCATTTCAACTGAAAACAACCAGTTCAAGAACAAAAGCAAGAGGCCTTTCTGTAAAAAAAAAGTTTCACTCATATTTTAAACAGCTTTAGTATCTCAGTGATTTAAAAAACAGGACTTTTGTCCTTTTTTATTAATTTTACCATTTTTAATAAGTACATTTTAAAAATATATTTCATGGATAATCTAAGCTCTAGGTAGGTCACATTAACCTTGTTATTTAATTGGATGCAGCACTGTTTTACTGGTAATTCAACCTCTTTGGATGGCCACTTTCAGCAACTGCACCCCCGGACTCTGGAACTTCTTGGCTCTATCGCCCCACCTCCCCCATCTTCACCTCCCACCTGAACACCCACCTCTTCACCATCCACTATAGTCACCTCCCTCGCTCGGGCATCCGATCCCACACTGTGCAGCGCCCCGAGAAGCTATTCTTCGTGATGGGCCGCTGCGCGAACGCAAGGCGTCGTTGGGACAGACCCCAATGCGAATTCGTGAACCCAACTATCATCCTGAAAACTGACCCGATTCACGGCGTCGCGAGAGAATACAGAAATATCTCCCATTCACGTCAGTCAAACGGCGAAAGGAGCCCCTTCACATTGTCACCACAAGGCCATTCCTTTGCCCTCCAAACCCTGCGCCAGAGCAAGAATAACCCTCGCGTTTGGTACAGCGCCTGAGCGCGTCGCCGAGACGTCTCAGAGGGCTTCACAGAGTACACTGTAAAGTGAATCAATCGGGGACCGTACATTTTGTATGACAATATATACACACACAGACACACACAGACACCCAGACACCATCTTCCAAGGAGTTACCTTTGACACTTTTCCTGTTGACATCGGCTCCTTTCTCCAGCAGGTACTTGGCGATGTCCCTGTGGCCCTTGTAGCAGGAGATCATGAGGCAGGTGTGGCCGTGCCTGTTGGCCACCTCCATGTCGGCCCGGTGCTCGATCAGGTACTTGACGATGTCCAAGTGGCCGTCGAAGCAGGCGGCCCTGAGCGGGGTGGAGTTGGTGAGGGTCGTGTTGTTGACCGAGGCCCCGCGCTCCAGCAGCGACCTGACCACCGCCAGGTGTCCCGCCGCCGAGGCCGCCCACAGCGGCGGGGCGCCCTCGATCGTCTCCCCGTCGAAGTTGACCGAGCCGCCCAGCTCCACGGCCGCGCCGCACCGCTCCAGCAGGTACACCACCACCTCCAGGTGGCCGTACCGGGCGGCCATCAGCAGCGCCGTGGCCCCGTTCGACTTCTCGGCCGCCAGCGCCGACACCTCCTCCGGGGTCTTGGTGGACAGCAGCTTCTGCAGCAGCCGCACTTTGCCGTCTCGGGCCGCGTTGAACACCGCCGTCTTGATGTCCATCCTCCTGGGCTGTGACTGCGGCCTCTCCCTCCCTCTCCCGCCTTCCTGACCCGCTCCCGCTCCGCCGCAGACTCCGCCGCCGCCTTCTCTATCGGAACCTCGCGCCGCTCGGGCTTCCACCACCGCTTCTCTCCCCCTCCTCCCCCTCTCTCTCTACCTCTCCCCCTCCTCCCCCTCTCTCTCTACCTCTCTCTCTCTCTCTACCTCTCCCCCTCCTCCCCCTCTCTCTCTACCTCTCTCTCTCTCTCTACCTCTCCCCCTCTCTCCCTCCTCCCCTTCTCTCTACCTCTCTCTCCCCCACTCCCTCCTCCCCCTCTCTCCCTCCTCCCCCTCTCTACCTCACTCTCGCTCTACCTCTCTCTCCCCCACTCGCTCCCCCTCTCTTTACCTCTCTCTCTCTCCCTCCCTCCTGTCCCCCTCCCCGCCTCTCCCTCCTCTCCCTCTCTCTCTGTCCCTCTGGTTCTCCTCTCTTGAGCGTTGACTTTGTATTGGCTGAACTTTTCCTCCCTGTTTTACCACAGACCGGAGTTGCCGCTCTCTCTCTCTCTCTCTCCTTGTCCGCACTTCGCTTCGCCTGTGGTTACTCCGAGTTCATCTTTCTTTCCTTCTCTCTCTCTCTCCCTCTCTCCGGTCTCTCTCTCTCTCTCTCCGGTCTCTCTCTCTCCCTCTCTCCGGCTGTCTCTCTCTCTCCCTCTCTCCGGTCTCCCTCTCCCTCTCTCCGGTCTCCCTCTCCCTCTCTCCGGTCTCCGGTCTCTCTCTCCCTCTCTCCGGTCTCTCTCCCCCTCTCTCCGGTCTCTCTCCCCCTCTCTCCGGTCTCTCTCTCCCTCTCTCCGGTCTCTCTCTCCCTCTCTCCGGTCTCCCTCTCCGGTCTCTCCCTCTCTCCGGTCTCTCTCCCCCTCTCTCCGGTCTCTCTCTCCCTCTCTCCGGTCTCTCTCTCCCTCTCTCCGGTCTCCCTCTCCGGTCTCTCCCTCTCTCCGGTCTCTCTTCCTCTTTCTCTCTCTTCCTCCTGACAGTTTCTTTTATATTCTGTCTCTCTTTTTGGGAGGAGGAGGAGGAGGAGGAGGAGGTGAGACCCACCAGCACCACAGCAACGAAACGCCGATGAATTGACCGAAAGCGTCAGGAGCTCTCGCCCTCTTATTGTATATTATTAAATAAATAAAAGGGACACACGATTGTCACGACTCCCGCGCGGCCGCACACGGCCCCCGACACCGGAGAGGATTTCACCGCCATCGCGAGGCGCAGCCGAAGCGGAACTTTACCAACGGAAGTGGAACTTTTTTTCCTCTCTCTCCCCCCGCGTCCCTTCCGCTCCCGCTTGATTGACAGCCGAGCAGCCAATGGCCGGGAGTTACGCAATGACGTTCTTTGTGACGTCGCCCAGGGATCGGGTTTCCATGCGAACCCCCCCCCCCACTCCCGCGGAGCCAATAGGAGGCGGCAAAGGGTTAGGGGGGGCGGGACTAGAGTTCGGGTCTGGTTCTGCTCATTCATCGCCAGCCGTGCGCAAAGCCGCCCCGCAATAGAGCAGCGCCGCCTAGTGTTAACCACTGTTATTATTAAACAGATGTCTGTAATGTCTGTGCAGTGTGTAGTAACAATAGTAATCTTTGCATTGGATATTGCGCCCTATCACGTTGTGGAGACGTCTCAAAGCGCTTCACCGGATTTACTTTCGCCCACAAATATACGGTCAATTCACTTTACAGTCTATTCTGTGAAGCGCTTTGAGACGTCGAGAAGACGTGAAAAGCGCTATATCAAATGCAAGGATTATTATTACTGCAAACCCAATATCTGTTCACTTTTTGTTCAGTTTGTTTTTACTTTGAATTTTAAAATTACAGTAGTTTTTTAGCTACAAGTACAGTCACTACACACAACAGAAATTACATTTGAAGCACCATGAGATATTTTTTGACATACGTTTCAAATACAAAGATTATCATTATACTCGATTGTTTTTTAAATAAACTTTTGCCTTTATATCTTTGGTAACTTTCTGTCACGTTCAAGGGAAGTTAGTAATTCTGATAAGGAAACCTCTGGGGCCCTTCAAAGTATCCTAGGCCAAGTGAAGTAGGTGTTGGTCACCACACTTGAGAGTATGACACCTAAGGCGGTGCCGGGTTATGTACGTCATTTGCAATTAATTTTCCCAGTACATGGTGACGCAAGAAAACTTACACCCAATGTCCCAACAATGTAGCAAAATGCATTCAAGGCATACAATAACATGTCCAGCCAAGTGTAGGCAGATACTGTAGAGTCCTGTAGCTTAGTAGTTAGAGCACTTGCCTCACAAGCGAGAGGACTTGGGTTCAATTCCAGGGCAGGGCGAAGCATTGGACACGTTTCCTTATACCTGAGGCCTCTGTTTACCTAGCAGTAAGTAGGGACCCGGTTGTTAGTCAATCGGTGAATCGGTTTCCGGGGTTAATAATCCCTTCAAAAAAATGTTTAATAATAAAATATTAATAATTTGGTCACAAACATGACTGTTTGTGGGACACTGCTGCGCTCAATTGGCTGCTGCGTTTCACCCACAAAATAAACAGTCAATTCACTTTATAGTATATTCTGTGAAGCCTTTGAGACATCTCAAAGATGTGATATACCCTGTATCAAATGCAAGGATTATTATTATTATATTATTATTATTATTACCTTCATTTCCTTGAGTGTATTGGGAAGTTGCAGAGTGAAGGTTTGGTGTTGCAGGATTGATTTGAAAGTCACGATCAGAGGCTGTAGAATTGGGTTAGGATTGTGTGGGTGGATATACTGTAGTTTCAAATCTCTCTGCATGTAAACTTGAACAGCCTATTTTAATGGAAAACTCAAGAATCTTCATACTAAATGTTGTATAACAAGTTGGCATCATGAGTGTAGCTGTTCATAGAAGTATAGGAATGTACAAGACCGGAAAGAATTGTTGCAGTTCATCTGACTGATTCCAAAGTTAATCAAAATCAATAATCCATCTCTCATACCCCTCAATTGATTCATTTGTCAACACACAACTTTGCTTCCATTGCGTCCTTGAGTAACTGTCCGCTCAACTGATTTTGAGCAGACCTTGTTCGAGATGTTACATGAGCAGAAACAGAAAAATCTCCTAAAGTAACTGTGTCCATCAAGATCGAGATTAGGTTCTAAATTGTGGAAGAAACATATGAGGTGCTGGAGAAGTGTGGAAATGGAGGAGACAAATTCAACCATCTTATTTCTGTAAATATTCCTCAAACTATTGCTCTCCTAAGTATTAGAAAACAGAAGCAGGTCATTCATTCCATTGAACTTCTTCGACCAGTTTATTAGATATTAAACCCAGTGCCCGTTCTCTTTCTCCATACACTTTTTGCCTCTATTATCCAAATATCTGCCTATCATCCTTTTAAACATCCCTATTGAGTCCACCAGTACAGGTTATTGGGTCATAGCATTCTACACATTTACAGTTCTTTGTGAAGAAATGCTTCCTCACCTCCCCTATAGCGCTTTTAAAGCAAGAAAATCAGATGGGGTGGACTGTTTGTCGGAATAAAATTATTTTTATTTATCCGGACTGTGATACGGGAATAATTCCAGTTTTATTGTATATTTGTTATAAAAACTTCATGAATTTAAGTCAGTAATGATAATCCTTGGATTTGATCAGCACCCTATCACATCATCAAGACATCTCAAAGCACTTCACAAGATTTTACTGTGAAGTGAAACGTGAAGTGTATATACACATTTGTCACCTCCCACCTCAATTTTTTCCAATGCTCTCCTCGCTAGTTTCTCCAGCTCCACCATTCATAAAACCCAAATAATTCAAAACTCCTTACCTATACTGAACTCCATATTCTCATTGCCCCAGTCCTTGCTAAGCTCCATCGGCTCCCTATTGCAGAATATATTGATTTCAAGATTCTCAGCTAGCTGTGACCTTCTGCATATCCCTTGTCCCCTCCACTCAACCATTGGCGACTATGCTTTCAGGCATTGCTCTGAGACTATGAATGCCTCAATGTCTCAGTTTTTCCCTGTCCTTGACCATCTTCGGATCACATCTGACGACCTTCCTATTTAACCATAGCTGCCATCTCGTAAACCTAAAAGATCTGAGAATTCAGATCCATAAAACTCTAAAACTAGCAACACAGGTAGATAATAATAACATTAATTCTTACATTTGATGTAGTGCGTTATCACATCTTCGTGACGTCCCAAAGTGCTTCACAGAATATACTGTAAAGTGAATTGACTGCACATTTTGTGGGCGAAACGTGGCAGCCAATTGTGCACAGCAATGTTCCACACACATTCGTGGGTTGAGTGACCAATTTATTATTTTTTTTTGAAGAAATTATTGTTCTCCCACACTAAACCGTGAGCTGATCACCACCATTGTCATCCGGCTTCACTGGCTCCCTATCCTCCAGAGGATCAAGTTCAAGATCCTCATCCACTCAGTGGGCACTGGCCTGCTCCATGTGCCTCACCCTGTCCACTCCACCATCGGCGGTTGGGCATACAGATTTTCTGCCCCACCCTCTGAAACTCCATCCCAGAGCCATTCACTGCCTGAAGTGGTGGTTGAATCAGTAGTGTACTGTAAATGCATTTAAGACAAAGGTATATTTACACATGAGGGAGAAGGCAACAGAAGGGTGTGGGAGGGAGTAAGCAGTGGATGGAAACTCATGTGGAGTATAAACATCTATAGGGAATAGTTCAGTCAAATTGCTGTGCATTCTATACAAGAACATTGTAAACCCAGCGTTAGTACTCCCTTCTCCAACTTTGATCCTCTGCAACCCAAATTTAGCAGTACTGTTTGTTTTGCCTATTCCCATGTCAATTATCTTTGTAGTCTCTAGAATTTTTTTTTTTACAGCTATTTAATGATAAAGTATGGCTAGTTTTATGTTGCATACTTCCACAAATCAATGACTAGGTTGAGGCTGGCTAAACTTATTTTGATAGGATTCTAACAAAGAGAGGCAGCTGAACCTGAAGCCAAGTACTATTGCTTAAAGTGTTATAACCTGGGCCATTAGAAAATTGTGAAAATATTTGCCAAAAGTTGCAGGGCATTTGACAAATTTTGCGGAAGATTGAGGAAGGTTGATTGGTGATATGCATTTTGTGAAACAACCCAGATTAAAACTATAG